TATTATATTACTATTGCATTCCAATATATCTGTCTCTTATACACATCTGTGTATTATATTACTATTGCATTCCAATATATCTGTCTCTTATACACATCTGTGTATTATATTACTATTGCATTCCAATATATCTGTCTCTTATACACATCTGTGTATTATATTACTATTGCATTCCAATATATCTGTCTCTTATACACATCTGTGTATTATATTACTATTGCATTCCAATATATCTGTCTCTTATACACATCTGTGTATTATATTACTATTGCATTCCAATATATCTGTCTCTTATACACATCTGTGTATTATATTACTATTGCATTCCAATATATCTGTCTCTTATACACATCTGTGTATTATATTACTATTGCATTCCAATATATCTGTCTCTTATACACATCTGTGTATTATATTACTATTGCATTCCAATATATCTGTCTCTTATACACATCTGTGTATTATATTACTATTGCATTCCAATATATCTGTCTCTTATACACATCTGTGTATTATATTACTATTGCATTCCAATATATCTGTCTCTTATACACATCTGTGTATTATATTACTATTGCATTCCAATATATCTGTCTCTTATACACATCTGTGTATTATATTACTATTGCATTCCAATATATCTGTCTCTTATACACATCTGTGTATTATATTACTATTGCATTCCAATATATCTGTCTCTTATACACATCTGTGTATTATATTACTATTGCATTCCAATATATCTGTCTCTTATACACATCTGTGTATTATATTACTATTGCATTCCAATATATCTGTCTCTTATACACATCTGTGTATTATATTACTATTGCATTCCAATATATCTGTCTCTTATACACATCTGTGTATTATATTACTATTGCATTCCAATATATCTGTCTCTTATACACATCTGTGTATTATATTACTATTGCATTCCAATATATCTGTCTCTTATACACATCTGTGTATTATATTACTATTGCATTCCAATATATCTGTCTCTTATACACATCTGTGTATTATATTACTATTGCATTCCAATATATCTGTCTCTTATACACATCTGTGTATTATATTACTATTGCATTCCAATATATCTGTCTCTTATACACATCTGTGTATTATATTACTATTGCATTCCAATATATCTGTCTCTTATACACATCTGTGTATTATATTACTATTGCATTCCAATATATCTGTCTCTTATACACATCTGTGTATTATATTACTATTGCATTCCAATATATCTGTCTCTTATACACATCTGTGTATTATATTACTATTGCATTCCAATATATCTGTCTCTTATACACATCTGTGTATTATATTACTATTGCATTCCAATATATCTGTCTCTTATACACATCTGTGTATTATATTACTATTGCATTCCAATATATCTGTCTCTTATACACATCTGTGTATTATATTACTATTGCATTCCAATATATCTGTCTCTTATACACATCTGTGTATTATATTACTATTGCATTCCAATATATCTGTCTCTTATACACATCTGTGTATTATATTACTATTGCATTCCAATATATCTGTCTCTTATACACATCTGTGTATTATATTACTATTGCATTCCAATATATCTGTCTCTTATACACATCTGTGTATTATATTACTATTGCATTCCAATATATCTGTCTCTTATACACATCTGTGTATTATATTACTATTGCATTCCAATATATCTGTCTCTTATACACATCTGTGTATTATATTACTATTGCATTCCAATATATCTGTCTCTTATACACATCTGTGTATTATATTACTATTGCATTCCAATATATCTGTCTCTTATACACATCTGTGTATTATATTACTATTGCATTCCAATATATCTGTCTCTTATACACATCTGTGTATTATATTACTATTGCATTCCAATATATCTGTCTCTTATACACATCTGTGTATTATATTACTATTGCATTCCAATATATCTGTCTCTTATACACATCTGTGTATTATATTACTATTGCATTCCAATATATCTGTCTCTTATACACATCTGTGTATTATATTACTATTGCATTCCAATATATCTGTCTCTTATACACATCTGTGTATTATATTACTATTGCATTCCAATATATCTGTCTCTTATACACATCTGTGTATTATATTACTATTGCATTCCAATATATCTGTCTCTTATACACATCTGTGTATTATATTACTATTGCATTCCAATATATCTGTCTCTTATACACATCTGTGTATTATATTACTATTGCATTCCAATATATCTGTCTCTTATACACATCTGTGTATTATATTACTATTGCATTCCAATATATCTGTCTCTTATACACATCTGTGTATTATATTACTATTGCATTCCAATATATCTGTCTCTTATACACATCTGTGTATTATATTACTATTGCATTCCAATATATCTGTCTCTTATACACATCTGTGTATTATATTACTATTGCATTCCAATATATCTGTCTCTTATACACATCTGTGTATTATATTACTATTGCATTCCAATATATCTGTCTCTTATACACATCTGTGTATTATATTACTATTGCATTCCAATATATCTGTCTCTTATACACATCTGTGTATTATATTACTATTGCATTCCAATATATCTGTCTCTTATACACATCTGTGTATTATATTACTATTGCATTCCAATATATCTGTCTCTTATACACATCTGTGTATTATATTACTATTGCATTCCAATATATCTGTCTCTTATACACATCTGTGTATTATATTACTATTGCATTCCAATATATCTGTCTCTTATACACATCTGTGTATTATATTACTATTGCATTCCAATATATCTGTCTCTTATACACATCTGTGTATTATATTACTATTGCATTCCAATATATCTGTCTCTTATACACATCTGTGTATTATATTACTATTGCATTCCAATATATCTGTCTCTTATACACATCTAGATGTGTATAAGAGACAGCCAGTATACTGGACTATATTATTACTATATTACAACACATTGTATTCTATCGTTATTTTCCTTCAATATACATTCCCTTCCATTCCATTATACTATTATTACACTCGAGCGAATTGTATAATAGAATAATATATTAAATTATACAGTAACATATAATATATAGTATATTACATAATATATATTTTTATTCCATTTATATCGCAAATGCAGACCGAACAAATTCAATTATATTGTCAACAATTTTACCGGTTGCATGTTCCGATGAATCCCCGGCCCCAGAACGCGGCATTTCGTATAATCGTGCTCGTACAGTATGCGCTGAACATTTCGTTACAATAAAGAAACATTTTTAATTGTAAAACGCTTTCGCGGCCGACGCATTAGCATTTCGCGCGCCGGATAAGCCCGTGTAAAAACTGTTGCCGGGAGAATGGAACGCAATAATACTGAACAACGGCAACGTCATGAGGCGCAAAGAGGCGTCATGTACAAGTCCGTTCGGCTCGCGTTCTGCATCCTGCCGGTGATTGGACTCTGCTGCGTTCGCTCTGATGTAAGAGAACGTTTTTCCCTTTCGGGTTTTCCATTCGGGTTCGGGTTCGCGATTACATTTAAAAAATCTGCGTCCGCGTTCCGATAAAAGATGAAAACGAATCGAATTTCGTAATTGTTGCGAAACACGTTGCCAGCGGACGGACGTGATTTTTCCGATTCGAATGAGTCCGAACACTGCAATATTTGACCGATGGCACGACGAACCTGTGCCGGAGTCATTTTTGTCTCATAACGACAACACGTTCGTTTCGATAGAAATTGTCAAAGAAATATACTTTTTCGACTTCTGCAATCGACGATCGTTCTAATTGCGAACGAGTGTCACTTATGACGTGTATCGAAACGACAAATAATGATAACAATGATAAACAATAATAATAACAGCGAATACGGGTTCGGCGTTTTTTTCATTGTTTCGCCGTGAGCGTTAAATAAAATCCGTCGTTCGTTTCTTCGTTTCTTTTTTTTCTTCCTTTTAATATCCGGCCGCGGCGATAAAACACAGCGCAGGGACACGGTTTGAATAGCAACGAAAAGGCTCGCGCGCGCGGTTCTCCTTTATTTTTCACTCCTGTCCATCGTAAAACCCCATTCCTACAGCCGGAATTGTCACGGACAATACGTATTACACTTGCGAATTTTCGCGCATCCATCTACGGATGACGCGGGCCGTCGATAAATATTTTCGTTTCGCGGAGAGAAGACGCGGAGAGCCGAGCTCGCGCGACGCAAACGGTCTACCAATTCAATAGGACGACTCGTGGATACAATAGTTCTCGAACTTTTGCCGGGTTTTTCTCCTGTTTCAGCATTCTTTTTTTCGCGTCGGATTATTTCGTTCCATTTTTTCCTATCGGTCCGACTCGCCTGTTCGAACGAAGACGCGATTTTCCCCCATTGAAATGCGTGCAAGAATTTTGAAAAAATTGTGACGCGTCGCTGCCGTCGTGGTGCGTTTTTTTAGAATTTTTACCGATTTTTAAGTTAACTATCCTGGTCGTGAAAAATTAGTAGCTGAACAATATATACAGAGTACTTATCGTAACCAGAGAGTCCTAGCTATAGGGTGCAATTCTCCCCATTGAAACGCGTGCAAGAATTTGGAAAAAATTGTGACACGTCACTGCCGTTATGATGCACTTTTGAGAATTTTTGTCGATTTTTAAGTTAACAATCCTGGTCGTAAGAAATGAGTAACTGAACAATATACAGAGTTATTATGGAAATAAAAATCGCACATCTACCATATTGTTAATATTCGGGACAATAATAATTGAGGCAAACAAAAGGCACGTTTTCAACGTTTTCTGTGCGAAGAAGCGACTTGTGCTGAAATTATTCTGTATATTTTTCTGTCCGCACAGATAGCACGCGATTCGCTGTGACTGCATTTATAGCGGAAGTTATATCTCGTAGTGTTTCCACAATCTATATTGTTCGCTGCAATCTCGCCTACGACAATATAAAACGGCACGTGTTACCATAGTGGACACTCGTTGACAAGTAGCACAGAATACAGCAGGCATCATGATTCATAAGCTGAACGTTCTCCTTCTACTCGTTTCTCTAATTCTCTTGTCGGTAGATCCGATAATAGCGGAGGTAAATCTGACGGAATTTTTGTTTTCCGAACATTGTGTTGTTCTCTAAAGAATCACGAAATTATTCTCTTTTCAGCCACCACCGGCGTGTCGTTCTTTGCCACGAAGTAATCTCTGTCGAAGCCAGAAGTATATAATAATGTGCAGAGTACGTTGCCGTTCAATTAATTGAAATAATTAACACTATTGCCTGCATTAACAAAATTGCTGTATTTCTGTTTAGCTCACATGCACGAGAGAGGAAATGGGGTTGTAAGCGTCATCGCAACGTTTATTCCAATTCTATTGTATCGTCAACGAAAGTGTAATAATCGCATTGAAAATAAAGGAATAAATAAATCCGTAAATCTGTCGTAAAACCCACGAATTTTTAACCCGTCGATTTATCCTTCAATAAAATGTGTCAACGTATTATCGCAGTTGTAAAATGTTCGCTCCATCGATCGACCATAATCGCAACCGTAAAACGGTGCATCATAAATTTTCGGAGTCGTCGTTTTAACGTCTTGATTTGAAATACCGTGTACAGGAGGTCTCAGAACTCCCGTTACATCGGAAACCCATCTAACAGATTCCTGAGGCGATTTGAAGTAACGTTTTCCTTTGCGAAAATCTTCTACGAGGCTTCGTTGACGAGTTATTAACGGAAAACTGACGCCCCGCCCCCGCGATTGCACGCTCGACGCGGCATTGGCCGCGGGGCGGGGCGCTAGCCGCGCTCGCTACTCGATTGGCCCGCGTTTTTCGTTGATAACTCGTTAACGAAACCTCGAAGGATATTTCGGCAAAGGAAAAAGTTGCTTAAAATTGCGTCAGGAATCCTCTCGAAGAGTTTACCATATTTTTGGGCGATCATCATAATTTTTAATCATCTGCGGATCATCTGTCACCTATGCTGTGGATTTCACGCGTTTGCGATAAAAGCGAAGTAGTACTTCCAATAGAACACGTTTAATTTCCACAAGCTGTCGATCCATAAAATTGGTTGTTTATCGTGCCACTGCGTTATATCGCGTTTGTTACACGAAAAATGCATAATACATTTTAGCATTTATTGTTTGACGACGTGTTCACGTAATCTTTATCGGTTACATATCCGGTCAAGCTTTGCATATAAAAGGAAAGAGCAACGACGGTGGCCATTGTATAGCACAAACTTTGGACTACAGAGTGCACGATCATGAGTCGAAAACTACAGTTCCTGTTCCTCTTCGTTTCGTTCGTCTTATTCGCCGGATTTTTCGTAACACCGGCAGTCGGAGTAAGTGGAAATATTTTTAAAATGTTCTAACGAACTATAATTGTAGTAAATATTAATTATAATGAATTATAATTATAATTAATTATAATTACAATGAGTAATAATTATAATGAATAATAATTACAACGAATTATAATTACAATGAGTTATAATTGCAACGAATTGTAATTACAACGCATTATAATTACAACGAATTATAATTACAATGAGTTATAATTACAACGAATAATAATTACAACGAATTATAATTACAATGAATAATGATTACAAAGAATTATAATTACAATGAAATACAATTATAATTCATTATAATTACAATGAAATATAATTATAATTCATTATAATTACAATGAAATATAATTATAATTACAATGAAATGTAATTATAATTACAATGAAATGTAATTATAATTACAATAAAATACAATTATAATCATAATTATAATAAATTATAACTACAATAAATATTATTAAACATTCGACCGCGATATTCCATTTCTTTATATCGTTCTTTTCAAGGTGCCACCGGCGTGCCGCAGTTTACCGCGACGTCATCTCTGCTACAGCGACAAGTACAGAATAATGTGCAGGGTAAGTCGATGATCCACCGTCGCAATTAATTAGTTGTAACCCTATTTCAGAGCGATTCACTATACCCACGTATTTTTCTGATTAGCTCACCGATTGTAGCGCCGACGAACGAAGAGGAAAGTAATACAAAATCACGGCCATGTCATCGGCAAAATAATGTCAGACACATGGCATAATTGCTGCGAAAAAATAAATATTTTTCATTGGGAATAAAATGTATTTGTTCTTCAAGAACGTAAAGAAAATAACAAAAATCCTAATTCATTTATTATTATTATTATTATTATTATTATTATTATTATTATTATTATTAATATTATTATTATTAATATTATTATTATTATTAATATTATTATTATTATTAATATTAATATTATTTAATAATTAATATTAATAATTATTAATTAATATTAATTCGTCCACCATTGCTACAAACGTACAAGATTTATTTAAAGCCGCAGAGAAATGGCGTGGTGCCGTCTAAGAGCAATTTTGACCTAATTTTGACCTTTCGACCAGGCCCTTAACAGGCCCTTCGTGGACGACCGGGCCCCGGGCCGCGCGACGTCCGCTTCGAAATTCCGAACGTAATTTCCCGAGGATTTTACGATTTGTTTCGAAATTTTATTCGCCTCGGATAAACGCGAGCGGTTTCGAAACGGTGATATAAACGGCGATCCAAGAATAAAGACACTCGCGGAACGGTCCGCCGAATGTTTCGGCAAGTCGATAAACTGTGGCCAACCGGGAGCCATACCGCGGAACGTTACCGTCTAATCGAACGTGTAAAACTAATCGTTCGAGTTACGCGGCGCCTCGAACTGTTTCGCGCCGTGCCACATGAATTATAATTATAGTACGTAACCGTCTGCCTTTGACGTCCTCGTCCGATTCAATTCGGGACGAAGTTGGACCGGCGGGAAAATATTTTTCGTAATGATGGTTTAATGAGGCGAGCGCGCGCGCCCTGCCCGAAATTTCGAAAAATTCCGACGGAGAGGACGACGCGGAATATTACATTCTCTGTCTCTTCGTCTCTGTCGCTCTCTATCTCTCTTTCTCTTTCTCTCTTTTTTCACTCCTAATTTTCTCTCTCTTTCGCTCTCTCTCTCTCGCTCTCTATAGCTCTCTATCGCTTTCTCTCTCTTCCTCTCGCTCTCTATCACTCTCTATCGCTTTCTCTCTCTCTCTCTCGCTCTCTCTCTCTCTCGAAATCTTTCTCTTTTTTCTCTCTCCTAATTTTCTCTCTCTTGCTCTCTCTCGCTTTCCCTCTCTCTCGCTTTTTCTCTCTCTCGCACTCTCCCTCGCTCTCTCTCGCTGTCTCTCTTTCTCTCTCCCTTTTACTCTCTCCCGCTCTCTCTCGCTGTCTCTCTTTCGCTCTCTTTCTGTCTCTCTTGCTCTCTCTTGCTCTCTCTCTCTCTCTCTTTCGATGTCTCTCTCTTTTTTCACTCCTAATTTTCTCTCTCTCTCTCTCTCTCTCTCTCGCTTTCTCTCTCTCGCACTCTCTCTCGCTCTCTCTCGCTTTCTCTCTCTCTCGCTCTCCCTCGATGTCTCTCTCTTTTTTCTCTCTTTCTCTCTCTCTTTTACTCTCTCCCGCTCTCTCTTTCTGTCTCTCTTGCTTTCTCTCTCGCTTTCTCTCTCTCTCTCTCTCTCCCTTTCTCCCTCTCACTCTTCCAGCTCCTCTCTCTCGCTTTCTCCTTCACTCTCCCTTTCTCTCTCTCTTTCTCTTCCACTCTCTCTCTTTCTCTGTCTCTCTCACGAGGTATCAGCAACTATACAAGCAAACCGCGAACCTCGAAAAATCTCAACTAATTATTGCCTCGAATAATCGTATATCCCCCCTTCCCTAATTGTCCATTTTTGCTTCCAATCTAATTCTAATTCGTTAATTCGAAAGAATTTACTGTATTCTCATATATCCGTCGATTTGAACTCCGACCCCGCGTCATCCAGAGAAACATTACCGTACCACTTGATCCAGATCGCCGGAAGACAAGGCCCGAGACGTTTTTTAGCCGCGCCTGGTCTCAGCCGGGACGGGTTTTATAATTACATAAAGTTTTATCAATTTCGAAGACGAAACTCCTGGCGAACGTTACCTAGAAGTTGCCGGGCGGCCGTGCAACTTGTTACAGCTCGTCCCCTGTTCCCTTTGACAAATTACCACTTAAGTATCTAAGCTGTTTTCTGTCTCGTAAAACAAGAAAGAACACTTCGAGTTTCGATGAGCCTGCAACGTTGCCCCGTCATGCCGTTGCCGCGCGTCCCCGCTCCACCCTTCCTCCACGCCACGCCTCACCCACGACGGCAAAAACACGTCGACGTTGTACACGCTTCGTGCACCGTGAAATAAATTCCGCCCGCTTTCCGTTCGTTCAATCGTTTCCGCGCGTACGCCGCGAGCTTCTGCAATTATTTGTTCTAAAATTATTTCTACTAAATATTAATGTTATATTGTGTTCGTACACGCGGGACGTTTCTATTTCTTTGCACGAACGTACGGAAACTGTCGCGATTCGACGATCAGTCCGCGTTTCACAAGGATTTCCAAAATTCCACGGAGAACGAGAATGTTTCTTTTCCTACGGCAGAATTTTTTCTCGCATTGAAATTGGATGAAAAAGTCTGTGGATCTTGACAAAATGAATATTCCAAGTAGAACATCCTTGGGTCGAGGGAGAAATGCAAAAAGAAAGTGGAAAAAATCGTCAAAAATGGTCGGAAAACGGTGTCAGTACGTTTAGAAATCGATCTTCTTTAGTTGCGAAAGAATTGCTCGCGATCGACCGGCCGTATCCGCGCGCACGAGAACACGTGTCCGCGAAGTCGGCAGTCGGTCGATCGTGTGACAGGCTACGCGGCCCGTAACACCATTATAATAACATCCGGTTAAGGTCAAGCCGACTACGATCCACCTGGAGCAAGATAAGAGGCTGCCCCACGTGGAGCGAGATAAGCAGGTGCCCCACGTGGAGCAGGATGGTGTGACACCCTACGCACCCCGTTACGTCATTATATCAACATCCGGTTAAAGGAGCAGCCGACTACGATCCACGTGGAGCGAGATAAGAAGGCGTATAAAATCACCGCACATCAAAGACAGGCCATTGAGTTGGAACCAGGGTCTTGACCCATACACACCGAATTGCTGTCCGTCGTTATTATTTTGTACTGTGTCCATTTACTGTATTATACATTCAAGCGTAACCTGCTTGAATGAAATAAAGTTTTTCATATATCTAAGTGTGAAAGTTTACGTCACAATCGAGTGGTCATCCGCTGTCGCTGTCGCCTCGCGGGTTTACGCGAAGCGAGACAGACGCGCACCGCCTGCGGCGACCTGCGAGGCACGCCGACCGCGGCGACCTGCGACGCGCGCCGCCCGCGACGATCTGCGACGCGCGCCGTCCGCAGCGATCCGAGACGATCGCGCAGCCCGCGACGATCTGCGGCGCGGCCCGCCGCTCGGTTATCGCGCCGTTAAACGGGGCAGGACGCGATCGCGATTCGCCGCGGTTTACGCGACGCGCCTCCTCGCGCAATTTTCCGTAATTAATTGCAATCGTAAATGAACAATGTTTCCGGACACACACACGCATACCGGCACATGCACATCGGCGCTAAATCCGTCGAGACTTCGCGCCGATTCGCGGACAAACTTTACGGCAACACTTCGCAGTAAATATGTCCGGTTTAACCGAGCGGCACGTTTAATTAATAAGGTAATTAATACGGGGGAACACGCTTTGTCCGGGAAATTGAGTGTCCGGCGGCCGGGCAGCTGGAAAATGAATCCCGAATAAAATTAACTGGCGATCGCGCGCGTCCAGATCAATGCGAAAAGAATCGCCTTTGTCCCCTATAATGATATCCGGCTTAATGCGGCGTGCCATTGATCCGGCAACGCCGCGCCCGTTTCCAGCCGAGATGGTTTTTCGAGCACGTGGAACGGACTTCGCGCGAACGGTGCTTTGTTTTATGGAAAAATGCATTTCGATGCGGAGGGTTTTGTGGATCTGTGTCAAAATTTAATGTATTATTATTATTATTATTATTATTATTATTATTATTATTATCATTATTATTATTATTATCATTATTATTATTATTATCATTATTATTATTATTATCATTATTATTATTATTATCATTATTATTATTATTATCATTATTATTATTATTATCATTATTATTATTATTATCATTATTATTATTATTATCATTATTATTATTATTATCATTATTATTATTATTATCATTATTATTATTATTATCATTATTATTATTATTATCATTATTATTATTATTATCATTATTATTATTATTATCATTATTATTATTATTATCATTATTATTATTATTATCATTATTATTATTATTATCATTATTATTATTATTATCATTATTATTATTATTATCATTATTATTATTATTATCATTATTATTATTATTATCATTATTATTATTATTATCATTATTATTATTATTATCATTATTATTATTATTATCATTATTATTATTATTATCATTATTATTATTATTATCATTATTATTATTATTATCATTATTATTATTATTATCATTATTATTATTATTATCATTATTATTATTATTATCATTATTATTATTATTATCATTATTATTATTATTATCATTATTATTATTATTATCATTATTATTATTATTATCATTATTATTATTATTATCATTATTATTATTATTATCATTATTATTATTATTATCATTATTATTATTATTATCATTATTATTATTATTATCATTATTATTATTATTATCATTATTATTATTATTATCATTATTATTATTATTATCATTATTATTATTATTATCATTATTATTATTATTATCATTATTATTATTATTATCATTATTATTATTATTATCATTATTATTATTATTATCATTATTATTATTATTATCATTATTATTATTATTATCATTATTATTATTATTATCATTATTATTATTATTATCATTATTATTATTATTATCATTATTATTATTATTATCATTATTATTATTATTATCATTATTATTATTATTATCATTATTATTATTATTATCATTATTATTATTATTATCATTATTATTATTATTATCATTATTATTATTATTATCATTATTATTATTATTATCATTATTATTATTATTATCATTATTATTATTATTATCATTATTATTATTATTATCATTATTATTATTATTATCAT